GAAGCAACAGGTATTTGCGCAATGTTAATTAGGCAGATTACCTTGAAAAACATTGCTGCCGTATTTCTGATAGAGTTTTTTGCAAATTTCTCAGTTTCTAATAACAATTAATTTATTTTACTAGTTTTTCTGTACTCCTATAACACCGCCAGACAACACCTCCAGAGGAATGACGACGAAAAATTTTTTCTTTCCTTGTTCTCATAACCATACCTGTTTATAAATATATTGTCCCAAATGAAGTATTCAATTTCATTTTCATTGTAACAGTTACGCAGAAATGCTCAAAAAGCAACCAAAATTCAACAAAAAAGGTAATTAATACACGGAAATTAAGATGTTTTAGCGTCCGAAAATATTCAATTAAAGATATAATTTTTGAATGCAATTATACGTGAGGTACAAGTAGGTAGCAGGTTTATTTTATTTAAGGATTAATGAGTTCCGAATTAAAATTTATTTCTAAAACTTTAGTTGTTGAAATCCCGTGAATATCCAAGTCAGTCTCATTTTCTCCCGGTTGCCGATCGGTCGAAATCCGCAAAGTTATTGCGGCATCGGCTTCTTCAGCGGTGTTAATTAAATTTTTATTGTAGACGCGCGGCGAACCCTTTAAAGCAATTTCGGCGGTCAGGATTATTATTATACGGCGGATTTAAAGTGGCTCACGGCTCATTTTAGAGAAGCACACTCATAATTGCTTGTTTACTTTGCGATAATACAATATGGATGGACGAATCACTGAACTTGAGCGAGTTATTGACCCCAAGCACCAGGTAAAACATATTAACTACCTTTGCAATGTAATAAAAATCCTAGAATTAATTGGAATGTATTTGCATTATTTCCATCAGTAGATTTAGAGTGCTTTCAGTGAATTTCAAGTCCTTGCAATAAAATAGATCCTTATTGCTCGACTATCGGAGCTGAAGAGAAGGGCTTGAGCCATATTGTAAAACAGCATATCGATTATTACGAAACAATACGAAATGTGTTGTGGTAGGTTAACTTTGAGGATAACTCCCCCAATTGCAATAAGAGGGGAGTAATAGAATGCCCTTTCTTCGCAAAGTTTTATGGTGTGGCTTATAGGCCGACACAATTTAGGGCGACATCTATACAAGGTCTGTTTGTGTGGGGGATGTTTGGGACTTTTCCTTGAATTACAATGCAATAAACTGCAAAGAGGCATCATATTTTAACTTTAGAATGGTTCGACGGAACTAGGATAGCGCCAAATACAGGGTGATTCAAAATTGACGTCATGCCTTTTAAGGGGTAACACTTGGAAGGCACCAGAAAAAATATTAAAATTTTTTTTTTGGATAATTTCTAGAATATATTAACAGTTGAAAATCGAATTCCAACTTCTGCTCACGAACCACAGACTCAACGCTGACTCCCCCACAATAACTGCAGACGGAAAAATAACACAACCGAAAAACGACTTAAGGTACCTTGGGATTACAATAGACCACAAACTGAAATTCACTAAAACACACGAATCATCAGAACAGAAATGATAAAAAGAACAAAACACTTTCGATCACTAACATACAAGGACAAAGGAATTAGTACAAATACCGCGACAAAAATA